ATTATATCGAATATAAGTGTTATGGTTTAAGTAAAAATGCTGCAGGTTCCCAAGTGGCTGCAGCAGGCAGCAGGCAGCAGGCCACGAGACCATGCAACAGATCCCCAAAGTGGTGGTAGGCAGTGGGTAGCAGGTCCTGAGAGCAACCAGTTCCAGGCACAGTTCCTCAAGTGTATGCAGTGGGCCACAAGGGGCAGCAAGTCCCAGGCAGGGAGCCATGTGGTGGCTGAGAGACCTTGACAGGGTAGCCAGTCCCATGAGGGGAGACAGACAGATGGGCATACCACAAGACCATGCCACAGGTCTCCAAAGGAAGCTGGTCCAGGGCAATGTGGGTGAGAGATGGAGACAGTTAGGCATGCCATGCAGAGTGAGGTTGGATATTTATTTTGTGGGTTATGGGGGGAAAGGGGACAAGGGAAAAGAGGAGAGCGAGGGAGAGAGAGGGAGGGAGGGGGGAGAATGAGAGACAGAAATAGGGGTGGGGAGGAGAGGAGCCACAGCAATAGCTACCTCTCTGGGAGAGAGACAGAAAAGGAAAGGACTCAGACTGGAAGCTGAAGATCAGCTTGCCTCTGCAGAAGAGGGGAGGGAATGGGCATGGCTTGTCTCTTAAAGGGACAGGACATATCATTACATTCCCATCTCTTTTTTATAATAAAAAGGTAGGAGGTTAGACACCACAGGTTAAAGGAATTGGAATGGCAGATTCTCAAGACTGCTTCCCATTTATTTGTGGGTGTTGTCTTTGGGGGGGAACCTGAGTAGACTGGGTGCTGGTCACATCCTGGCATAGCTAGTCTCTTTGGTTTAAGTAAAAAATGCTGCAGGTCCCCGAGTGGTGGCAGGCAGCAGCAGTGGGCCCCAAGACCATGGCAGGCCACAGAGGCGCTGGGTCCCAGGCAGAAAGCCATGTGGCAGGTGACAGGCCAAGACAGATAGGCACACAATGCAGAGTGAAGCTGGGTATTTATTTAGTGGGTTATGGAAGGGAAGGGGAGGAGGGGGGAAGAGGAGAGAGAGAGAGAGAGAGAGAGAGAGAGAGAGAGAGAGAGAGAAAGAGAGAGAGAGAGAGAGAACTGGCTGGAAGCTGAAGATCAGCTTGCCTCCGCAGACAGGCGAGAGAGTGGGCGTGGCTTGTCTCTTAAAGGGAGAGGACAGACCATTACAATATGTACTAGTTACTTCTCTCAGCTGTGGAGAAATACATGGCCAAAGGAACTTTGGAAGGGTTTATTTCAGCTCTCCATTCGAGGGTATGGTGGCAAGAGCTTCAGGCAGCTAGCCATATTACATCTGTAGTCAGGAAAAGAGAGACAGAAATGCAAATGTTCAGCTTGGTTTCTCTACGCAGACCAGGGCCTTAGCCTGTGAAAGGTGCCCCCATATTTAGGGTAGGCCTTCCTGTCTCAGGTAACCTAGTCTTGATAACTCCTTACAGATGGGATCCAGATACTTGTCTCTTCCACGGCTATAGATCTTGCCAAGTCAACAAATCAGTATTGGCTATCACAACATAAAAATAGGAGAGATCGGCGGATTATAAGTCACTGATTTATTGTGCAGGGTGGACCAACAAGCTGAGCCACAGAGGGCTGGTGCCCCACTTCCAGTTCAGAGGTCTCAAATGGCCTCTGTGGTAGATGACACTAGAATAAATGCAGGCTATTGGAGGACTCCCTCTTGTTGAAAGGAGGCCTGGGTTTTGCCCAGCTGAGAGAGTGAGACCCACCTACAAGGTCCACAAATTAAAATATCAATCTCAGCACCTGGGAAGCAGAGGCAGGTGGATCTCTGTGAGTTCCTGGCCAACCTGGTATACAGAGTGAGTTCCAGGACACCCAGGGCTATACAGAGAAACCCTGTCTAGAAAACAAAACAAAACAAAATAAATAAAATAAAAAATATAAAATGTCAGTCTCATTAACATCTTTATGGAAACACCCAGATCATTTTTGACACTAAAGGTGGCCATCCGGCAGTCCTTACCTGTGCTAATTAACACAATTGATTCAAGAGATAAACTTTCATTAACATTTCACAAGCTACCAAGGTTCCTTGGGGGAGGAAAGACACCCTCCCTAGCCTCAAGCAGAGGGAAAAAGGAAACAACAAACCTAAAATTTAGCTGGGCTGTGACAGCCAAGGCCTTTATCCCAGCACTCGAGAGGCAGAGGCAGGCAGATCTCTATGATTTCAAGACCAGCCTGATCTACAAGAACTAGTTCTGGACAACCTCCAAAGCTACAGAAAAACTCTTGTCTCAAAAAACCTAAATAAATAAACAAATAAACTAAAATTTACTGGACACTTGCAAGATAGCCCATATTTTCTTATGGGAGACCTCACTTAATTCTTTGAGTTATGAATTGCTTTTACAGTTTATAGGTATAGGAACTGAGGTCCAAAGAACGCCAAGATGCCCAAGATCGAATCATAAATATAATGGCTGAGCTTAAGGATCATCTGACTGCAAGATGAATGTGTGTTGTTCTCTTTCAGCAACTTCTTAGCTGGCAATTCAGGAAAATTAAGGTAACTGTACAGTACTTTTTCCGTGGTCTGTTCCCTAAAAGCCTTCCCAGCATGTTGGTGTGATACTGAATACATGGCTGCTACTCCAAGAGGACAGGGAAACTGTAAAGGTAAAAGAAAAATGCTGAGGATACCTAAGTGGCTCTCCGACGACATGGTGGCAGGCAGCGGGTTGGGGGTTGAGAGCAGCCAGTCAGTCCCAGGCAGGAAAGGCACAGTTCCCCATGAGGCTGCAGCGGGCCATGAGGGGCAGCAAATCCCAAGCAGGGAGCCGTGTGGTGGGTGAGAGACCTCTATGAGGCAGCCAATCCCACGAGGAGAGACAGATGGATGGATACTCCATGAGACCAGGCCACAGGTCTCCAAAGGTGGCTGGTCCCGGGCAGGGGGCCATGCAGTCGGGGGCGAGAAACAGAGACATGGATAGGCACACCACTCAGAGGTAGGTTGGATATTTATTTAGCAGGACTTAAATCGTGTGTGACACTCATGACTACTCAATAAATGCCAGTTTTTCTGTGTCCTGGGACTTCAAGTGTCCAAATGTTTCTTTTGAACACAGAGGCGGAATTCTCTGGAGACTCTCATATCTTACAATTTCATGATGTGTCATTGTTTCTGATTTCACATCATCTTAACTATATGAGCTTGTACAGGATAAATATTTGGATGAAAGTGGAGATTTTTAGGGGGTAGGGTACAGAGAAAAGCAAAAACTTGCCCAGTGCCGCCTGGAGAGATGTCAGAGCATCCTGACTTATTGAAAAAGAATGGGTCCACCTGCCCTTCTGGATAGTGCAACCCTTTGACAATTCCCCTTCAAATATCTCTATCCCCCCAACACACACACACACACACACACACACACACACACACACACGCGCGCCTCCTATGCTCAGGGCTTGCTGCTCTAATTTAGGGAATCTTGAAATTCACTGCCTTAAAAGCAGGCGTTTTATCTGACCTTCCACATGGAAATTCTTTCCTTTGGAATTTCTATGTGTCCAGCTCCACCCAACCCACAGGACCTTAAACGCTTGCGTGTCGGCAGCCTGGCCTCAGGGATTCCAGAAATAACGTCGGGCCCTAGCTAGCGCACTGGAGCATAGTAAGGCATTTCTGTACCGAGACAGAGTCGCTTTCCAACCAGGCCTCTCCCGGACAAAGCACAAAGCAACCTTTACTCGTTGGCTGGGGAGGGGCAGCTGGGAGGGAATACGAATTTCTGGAAAGTTTGTCCTTTTCCGTCAAACCTACCGTACTGGAGTCTCCAGATCTGCTGGCTTCCTCTTAGCATTTGAATTCACTTTGCTTGCAGTGGCGGTCACTTAAGTTCTTTGAACCCTTGGGGAAACAACGGGAATTGGAATCTCAGCTGCCTGAGCCCAGGTGGCAATTTCCTTCTGAAGTCAGGCAGGACAGCCACCTCACTTGGAGTTGGGGCGTGTTTGTGATTGAAGGCAGGAGAGAAAAGAGCGATTTAAAAAAAATTGTTAGTCGTGATCCTGAATACATAGCATCCGGGGAAAATGATCTCATTTCAGAAGGGTGTTTATCGTGCGGAGAAAATCGGAAGTCAACACAAGGGGAGAATTTTGACTTTATAAGAATCTTTGGGGAAAAAAAAACCCCACCACACCCAAAAATCGAAACCTTGTACACTTGTGTGTGTGTGTGTGTGTGTGTGTGTGTATTTAGACAGTAACCTGGAGAAGTAGAAAGGATTTTTTTTTAATGCTTCGGGAAGCAGGTAGTCATAGCTGAGTTTCTCCAAATCGTGCTTAATGTCATTTTCCATTTTTTTTTTTTTAAAGCGTAACTGACTCTGCCACGCGGACCTGCCCGGATCTCCTACATCTACCTTTCCACAAGGGAATTCCAGGCTTTAGGGTGCCTGCGAGAAAAACTCGTATTAAGCCACTTTCTCTGGGAACCAAATCTTTTCTAATGGGGATGGGGTTATCTCTAATTTGGAGTCGGAATAGGAAAGTCATAAAGGCTGCATGTTAGCGTCTGGGGCTCCAAACCTTTGTCAAGAATAGAAAGGTGGAAGAAAGAAAGGCGCTTGTGCAACCAAACGGCCAATTATGTCACTCTGTGAAGTCCAGCCGCAAGCCTCCGTAGCCAGCGAGCTGCAACGCCCCATCTGCAGTGGTCGCTGCAGCAGGACACGCGGCCGCAGCCGGGGAGGTCGAGCGCACCTCCGGGTCCCGTGCCGCACCCAGGAGTGCCGGGCTGGCGGGGAGGATGAGGGGAGTTGGTAAAGGCATCGCCATGGCAACAGTGACGTCCATTCACCCTGGATCTAATTGGAGGAAACCCCGTGGCCGAAGCCGCAGCCTGCGGGCCAACCGAACCTACCAGGGCCGACCCACCCTCCGAGCCTCCGCTTTGCTTCCCGCCCCGCCCCCCCCTGCGCCCCCTTCCGCGCGCTCGCTTCTCATTGGTCAGCCAAGGGACTGGAGGCGGGACTCCCCGGGGAAGTGCGGAACGCTATTGGCCGATGGCGCGCTCGTCGGCTCCGCGCTAGGCTGAGACGGGAGGGTCCTCGGCTAAAGCCCAAAGCAGATCAAAGTGGTGGGACTCGCGTCGCGGCCGCGGAGACTAGAAGGTGAGTACGGGCGCCGCCGAGGGGCCGCCGCCGCCGCCGCAAGGGATCGGGGCCGGGGTGGCGGGGTACGGTCCTCGGGGCTGGTAAGCCACCGCGCGCCCGAGGGACGGGCCGGGGCGGGAAGGTGCGGCGCCAACGGCCGCTTCCATCTTGGGCCAGGAGGGGCCCGCGCTCCGGCCTCGGGGAGGCGCGGCGGGCGGGCTGGAGGGCGCGCGCGGAAGGCGGCGGCCCCGAGGGAGGCTCGAGGACGCGGCCTCGTGCGCCGAGACAAAGCGGGCGTCCGGCCGCATTGTCTGACGTGCTCTCCCCCCTCGCTTTTTTTTTTTTTTTTTTTTTGTCCTCTCCGGCGCCGCCCCGCTCTGCCCCGCCCCTGGCGGCTCTCTCAGGAGGACTCCGGATCCGGCTCGGCTCTCGCCCTCACTTCGCCATGGAGAAGACCGAGCTGATCCAGAAGGCCAAGCTGGCCGAGCAGGCCGAGCGCTACGACGACATGGCCACCTGCATGAAAGCCGTGACGGAGCAGGGCGCCGAGCTGTCCAACGAGGAGCGCAACCTGCTGTCGGTGGCCTACAAGAACGTGGTCGGGGGCCGCCGGTCCGCCTGGAGGGTCATTTCGAGCATCGAGCAGAAGACCGACACCTCCGACAAGAAGTTGCAGCTGATCAAGGACTATCGGGAGAAAGTGGAGTCGGAGCTGAGGTCCATCTGCACCACGGTCCTGGTGAGTCGTGGGTCGGCGGCGGCCGCGGGGTGGGGGGTGGGGGGGAGAGGAGGGCGGCGGGAGCCGAGACCCTTTTGTGTGGGGTTCTTGATGGCGAGCGTCCGGTGGTGGGGTGGCGAGTTGGTGGGATGAACCCCTGGGCTGCCTTCGTCCCTTGTCTCCGAGCTTCCCCAAGGGTGAGCAAATCTCCCAGGCTCTGGGTTACAGAAACTTGGGAACATCCGTATAGGACTTGCACAAAACTGGAAGAGATCTATTTAACCTTGTGCCAGGAGACAGGTCACTTTGGGGGCTTCACATCATAGGGGGAAGGCATGGGGGCTTTTAACATAGAGATGCTAGTATATGCCCCCTCCCCCGGATTTAGGAATGGGAAACTAAATATAGCTTCATCTTTTCAGGTGAGAATATGTTGAGACGTTCCCTGCTAAAGGTGTGTGTGTGTGTGTGTGTGTGTGTGTGTGTGTAGGCGGAAGTTCACTAAATGAAAAGGCTACAGTCAAATCTAAAAGAACACAGTGTCCTGGTCAGTTTCATTATTTAGTAGCGTTTTTCCCTCTTTGTTGCCTCACTTAGCCTGGGTGTGTAGAGATGAAATCAGAAATCATTTCTGATGGGATTGGCAAGGAATGCCTTCCAGGTTTTGAACTATCCGGTCCTTAGCTGTTGTGAGATCCTTATTAGAGGGATCAGGGGTTTGCAAAGCTTGGTCATTGCACAGACCCTCTAATCAAATCAATGAAGTAAGTTTCTTACATGTAAGTCGTAGTGTATCGTGGGGTGTCAGCTAGTTTCATGCTGCAGTTATTTCTGTGAGACGTGTGCTGTTCACATGCAGTAGTGATCAGTGCAGTAGCTGCCGGGTGTGCCCACCACATGCCACCTTTAGAAGAGGCGCCCCGACTGCTCCATCAATACTGTGTTTAGGTGCCTTTGAAAGGCAAGCATGCAAGGTTGATGATTTTTCTTAAGAGAAGAAAAAAATTACCCTTTCCTCCCAGCCTTTCCTTCATCACATCAAACCCCTGGAACCTAGAACTTCTATTTCCGAGAGATTATCTGAATGAAATCTTGATAGGTGCAGATAGATGGTAGGGGCAGTTCATGGTACAGTGCTGAAAGCCCTGCCGCTTTATGAAGACAAGCCAGGTTTTGTTGTATTAACATGTAAGTGCTTTTAAGTCCCTGTTCACATAGAGGGAGGGCCAACTCCTGGGCTGAGTTGTTTTTTTTTGTTTGTTTGTTTTTTATATTCAAGAGAGCTGCCAACTTGGATAAAAATGGCAGACATTAGTAGCATGTATGGATGGCTGTTGTTACCTACCACTTTGTGGTTTATTTACGCATACAGTTCAGAATTGCCAGGCTTTTTCATGTTCTCTAGCAGTTTAATTCTGAACCAAGGGAAAATGTATTCTATCTTGCAGCTCTTACAATTCTATTTTCAGATTTTGTGTGTGTGTTCTGCCTGCGTGTATGCATGCGTACCACCCATGAGGATGCTTTGTCCAGCGGCCTGAGGGAAATGGCCAGGGGTCTTATCCTCTGAAACTGGAGTTAGTTTTTAGCCACTGCTTGGGTGCCAGGAACTTGACTGAGGTCGTCTTGAAGAACAGCAAGTGCTCTTAGCCACTGAACCATTTCTCTAGCCCCAGAAAATTGGGTTTTTAAGGTAGCATGAATGTGGGAGTTTTCCTGTTTTCGATGGTGTGGTTTGAGAGAGTGGCCAGACACTTACCAGAGCCCTCTCATGCATATCCTTTTAGGAAGAGAGAATTTTTGAAATTAGGACAGCACTTTTTCTTGCACGAGACAGAGGAAGGTTAGACTAATCTGATACAGCAATGCACAAACTAAAGTTAATATATTGTCTTTAGCTGAATTTTGCCTTGTTGACTAACTTTGAAAAGAGGATCCTGGGGAAACATGTCTTCAGGTGGCAAATGTACTGGAGAGCTTGCTGTACAGTGAAAGGTTAAAAAATAATGCAGGGAAGAACAGAGCTGAAAACCATTGATTTTATTTATTTGCCCTGCAATAATTTATAATTTTGGGAAATATAGATCATATAAGCCAATTTCTATAAGGTGCTTATGAACAAAAGGTAGTGTAGTTAGAAGGAAACAGACTCACGGAGAGAGACAGTAGATGTGAGGGTGAATGGACAGTGTTGGAAGCGGGCTGTCATTCTTCCAGGACAATGGTGCATGGGACAGACAGGAGGCTTTCTGTGTGACTAGAGGTTCATCTGTTGGTAGGAACCATAGTTGGTAAGGGCAGATCAAAGGGAGAACCTAGATGGAGGTTTTGGGTTTTCTTTTTATGGTACTGGGGATTGAACTCATGGCCTTGTAAATATTAGACAAGTGCTCTGCCACCATGAACTGTGTCTCCATCCACTGTAGATATTTATAATGGTGTTTTATAGTACAATAAATATTATAATCTGAACACACACAAAGTGATAAACTAGTCAACAAGAATCTGATGAATGATAGATTCATAATTATAGTCATAGGTCTAAATGTTTTTATTTGTAATTAGTAATTTAGTAAGGAGTTAGTGAAGAGGAGGAAGAGGGAAACCTAGTTTCTAAATTTGGTCACGGTGTGTATTGAGGAGGGGACTAGGAAGGAGAAATTGATACAGAGGGAAAACTTGAGACTCATTTGGTTTAAGAATCAGCTTGTGGCCGGGCGGTGGTGGTGCACGCCATTAATCCCAGTACTCGGGAGGCAGAGGCAGGTGGATCTCTGTGAGTTCAAGACCATCCTGGTCTACAAGAGCTAGTTCCAGGACAGGCTCCAAAACCATAGAGAAACCCTGTCTCGAAACAAAACAAAACAAAAAAAACAGCTTGTGTTTTTATCCAAAATATCATTGACTCCCTTTCAGAATAGATTGGGGGTGGATAATTTTGACTGTTTATCCAGAATGTAAATGAACAGCCTTTGGTAGTCATTGTTCTCAAGGTTCCTAAACTGTGACATCATTCCATCTAAAAAGATTAAAGTCCCAATAAATACTGTGAAGAGAAGCAGACCAAAATGGTTTAAATCAGACTCCTAATGGGAGTTTTAAAGTCAAAGGTTTTGCCAGGTCACTTGTCAGTGTAATCCATGCAGAGGAGATGGTTGGTCTAAATTTTTAAAGTGTCTTTCAGTTCTAGTAATTGGGGCATATCCATAGTTGATGCTTGCCCTTCCACTTCTGCTTTAGCTCCCACCTCTGGTGGTTTGAATGAGAATGGCCCCCACAGTCTCGTGCATTTGAACACTTGGTCCCCAGTTGGTGGAACTGTTGGGAAAGGATTAGGTGAGCCTCTGGGACTGTCAGTTCCAGTCAGCTCTTTCTGTCTAGTACTTGTGGATCAAGATGTAAGCACTCAGCCACTATTCCAGCATCATGCCTGCCTGCTGTGTGCGCTCTCCACCATGATGGTTTACTCTAACCCTCAGAAACTGTTAGCCTCAAATAAACACTTTCTTTTATAAGTTGTCTTGGTCATGGTGTCTTATTACAGTAAAGTAACTAAAGACAACCGCTAAAATAATTGTAGCACATGTCATCAAAGATGAATAAAATGGTGGAAATCTAGTGACTAGTGTAATGTCTTTGAAGAAGTGGTCCAAAAGTTATTAATGACCTGAATGCTGATAGGATCGAAGTGTAAGTGAAAAGTCAAGCAGTGGTTAAATAGGTTAAATAAGACTTTGGGAGCAGTTAAGAACTTGATAAGAAGTAGGAGCAGACCATCATAAAGTGTCCCCTCTGAGACTAGGAACAAAATTTATCATTTACAAGCCTTCAACTAAGAGACAGCCACTTGAGGTGTATGCAGGTTAGTCTTTGTCTTTAGAGCTGGAGTACCCTCTCTTCTAGTCTGAGTAGACCAGGTGCAGCATAATGCAGGGGCAGTTTGAAGTCCTACTGTCAGTACTCTGATCTTTTTAAAAATATGAGTCAGCTGGGCTGGTAGGTAGAAGGAGCAGAGGTCAGAATCAACCTCTATATTGTGAGTTTGAGGCCTGCCTGACTTTTGTGACACCCTGTCTCAAAAAGGAATAAAAACAAAAACAAGAGCCAGAGGCAAGTACAGGGATAATGTGCCTGTAATCTGAGCCATTTGGGAGGTTGGAGCAGGTTTGAGAGTGAAGCCAGCTTGGGGAGCAGCAAAAGCCAGTCAGTCTTAAAAGAATCAATCATGTGGTGGCACACACCTTTAGTCCCAGCCCTCGGAGGCAGCATGTCCATAGAGCAAGTTCCAGGACAGCCAGGACCACACGGAGAAACCCTCTTCTTTAAAAAAGAAGAAAAAAAAAAAAAAAAAAAAATGTACACTGAGTGGGAAGTGAATACACTTAGTCCTAGTATTCAGGAGGCAGAGGCAGGAGGATCTCAATCAAAAGCTGTGTAACTAAACCTCTACTGTTTCAAATGAGGGCAAAAGAAAATCTCACAAAATAAAAATATAGACAGTGGAAAACTGATCTTGTAGTAGCTGTAAACCTTATTTCAGTTATAATCTTAAGTTTAGTTATGTTCTGAATTAACCTCTTCTAATGAAAATATAGCTCATGCTGGTCATTATTTTGATTCTTGATCATTAGCAATCACATATCTTAATCTTAATGCAATTTTCTGTGTATAATAGGAAAAGTATGGGCTCTGGAATGGAAGATGGCACCCCCCCCCCCTTTTTGATACAGTTTCTCTGTGTAGCTCTGGCTGCTCTGGAACTTACTGTATAGACCAAACTGACCTCAGATTCAGAGATCTGTCTCCTGAGTGCTGGGGTTAAAGGTGTGCCCAACCGTTGCCCAGTTTGGAATTGGCAGTTTTTAAATCAATGTTCCTTGGTTGCCTTGTTTGGTGAGCACTGACCTAGCAGTGCTTCTTAATCTGTAAATTGGGGATGGTGTCCTCTGTTAGAGGTTTGTGGGTGAAATAGCTGCATTAGTGGGCCTTTGGGGTGTGGGGGTAGAAGGGGGAGATAGTGT